GTCGCGGCTCGGCGGCGCCGCGGCCTCCGCGGCGTCGCGGTCGTCGTCCGGCGCCGGCCCGGGCGTCCGCGCCGCCGGCGGCGCGACGGGCGACGGCCGCCCCGTGGCCCACTGGACGAGGCGCTCGGCCTCGTAGACCGCGCGCGACCGGAGGCCGACGCGCGGCGGCGCGGACGTCGACAGCCGCGGCTTCGCCGCGAAGGCCGCGGCCTCCGGCGCCGCCGTCGCGTCGCGCCGCGGGTCCTCGACCTCGGCGAGCCGGTCCCAGGCCCAGGACCGCACGAGGCGCCGGCCGTCGCCCGCGACGTCCGCGACGGGCTCGAGCGCGGCGACGCCGACGTCGACGCACCGCAGCGCGCCCCGGCCCGCGACGCTCGCCGCGGCGGCGTCGCCGGCGTCGCGGCAGGCGCGCCGCGCGTCCGCCAGCAGGTCGCCCGCGCCCGGCGCGCCCTCGGGCGCGCGCACCGCCGCGCAGACGTCGCTCGCGGCCGCGGCGGCCGCGGCCGCGACGGGCGCGAGCGTCGGCGCGGGCACGTACTTGAGCCGCACGCGGGGCCGCGCGTCGCCGCCGGCGTAGGGCTCGAGGCCGTCGACGCCGAGCAGCGCCACGCGGAGCACGGCGACGTCGCCGCGCGTCCGCGGGCCCCGGTCGCCGGCCTCGCCGAGCCGCCGCCGCGCCCAGTCGCCCTCGAGGCGCTGGAGGCCCAGGGCGCCCAGCCCGCAGACGCAGAGCAGCACGGGCAGCGCGAGGAAGTGGTCCCGGGCCCACAAGAGGCACGCCGCCAGGCACACCGCGACGGCGCCGCCGGACGCCGCCGCGTCGTCCCACCTGTGTGCAAATCAACCACTGGTTTGGGACGTCCCGACCAAACTTTGAAATTCTCTAGCTCGGTCAAATCGAAGTCGATTCGGCTGATTTTTAGACGGATCGATTGCTCTCATCGAGTTCTCGAAGAACCAGTGGATGTGATCGTGCCAAACATTCGAATACGCTCACATTGAAGTCGAGTTGAAGATTTGATTTGCACACAGCGTCCCACCGGAGCAGGCGGTCGACCGCGGACACGAGGCCCTGGACCCAGGCCACGACGACGAAGAGCCGCTTGAGCAGCTCCACGGTCGCCGCCGGCGACGGCGCGTCGTCGCGCGGCGGCCGGTCCTTGGCGCGCCGCGCCGCGTCGAGGAACGCCGCCGGGGCCCTCCGAGACACCGCGACGCGCGCCTCCACGAGCGCCGCGACGTTGCCCCGCCGCAGGCCCGACGCGTCGTCCGTCGCGCCGTCGACGAAGGCGGACCCGCCCTCGACCTCCTCCTCGCCCGCGGCGGCCGCGTCCTCGTCCGCCAGAAGCGCGTACCACCCCGCGCCGGTCCGCGCCTCGGCCGCGCGCGCCGCGGGCCGCGCGAAGCGGTGGAAGCTCGCGTGGCTCGCCGGGTCGTCGTCGCTGTCGGAGTCGGACGGCGCCGGCGGCGCCGGCTCGGCGCCCGCGAGGCACCGGAGCGCGCCGTCCATCGTCTCCTTGACGGCCGCGAGCCGCCGGTCCGCGTCGCGCTCCGCGAGCTCGTACAGGCTCAGCGTGCGCCGCCCCAGCAGGGCGCCGCCGGCGGGGTCCGCGCTCGACGACTGGGCCCGGAGCTCGAGGAGCAGGCGGTCCCGCGCGGACGTCGCGCGGAACGTCGCCGACAGCCGGAGCCGCCCGAGCTGCGACGACCGCGCGACGACGCGGCTCGCCGCGACGGCGTCGCCCAGGCGCGCGACGACGACGACGGGCGCCTCGAGGAGGCGGCCGCCCTCGTCGTCGGAGCCGTCGTCGTCGCCGTCCGCGTCGCCGTCGATCTTCAGCGTCGGCGGCAGCGCGTCGTCCGCGCCCCCCGACCGCACCTGCGCGGAACTCGAATCTTCGACCCGACGTCAATGTGCGCGTCATCGAACGGTTTGGACTCTTCGACTTTGCTTCGAGAACTCGACGAGAGCACTCGATTCGTCCAAGAATCAGCCAAATCGACTTCGACGTGACCGAGCTCGAGAATGTCAAAGTTTCGTCGGGACGTCCCGAACCGGCGGTCGAGGTCCACGCCGGATCGCACGAGCCGCGCGCGGCGCACGTCGACGTCGACCTCGGCGACGACGTCGCCGTCGTCCACGGGCGGGATTTTTGGCAAATCCGGCGGCGGCGGGGCCGGCGCGTCGGCTTTGCTGTAGCTCCGCGCGAGCGTCGCGATGTACGCCGCTGTGTGCGTCGGGCTCCGCCCGACGGCGGCGCCCGCGGCGCCGACGAGCGTCCCCGCGGCCAGCGCCACGGTCAGCCCCGCGCCCGCGCCCGCGGCGGCCGCGACGGCGCCGCCGGCCGCGAGCGCGACGCGCGACGCCGACGCCGTCGCCGCGGCGACGGTCGGCGGCGCCGCGGCGGCGCGCGCCGCGTGGGCCGCGTCGTCCGCCGCGGCCGCCGCCGCCGCGGCGTCGGCGTCGCGCAGATCCGACGCGCAGCGCGGCGCGAGGAGCGCGAGCCACGCGGCCGCGGCGCCGGAATCGTCCGGCGGCGCGCGCAGCAAAAGCCGGCCGCCGCCGTCCGCGAGCTCGAAGCCCGGCGTCTCGAGGTCGTCGCGCCGCCGCAGGTGGACCGCGGCGAGGTCGCCGAGCGCGTGGACCTCGTGGTCGCGCCAGGAGCCGCCGCCGGCGGGGCCGTGGCGGTAGCTCCGGAGGCTCGTCTCGCCGTCGCGCCGGAGCTCGCAGTAGCGCTCGCGCCAGGACGCGTCGGCGTCGCCGACGCGCCAGCAGAGCAGCGGGCCGCCGTGGACCGCGGCGCCCGCCGCCGCGGGCGTTTGCGCGCCGTTGAGCGCCGCGCGCCACGCGGCCGCGTCGCCCTCGTCGACCGCGCGCCAGAAGCGCTCGGGCTCGCCGGCCGCGCACTGCACGGCGAAGCCCCCGCCGCCCCAGCGCCCGCTCTCGGGCAGCGAGAAGGGCCGCGCCGTCTTCTCGCCGAGCCGCAGCGCGGCGGCCGATTCGACGGCGCGCGATGCCGCGCTCGCGAAGACCGCGAGCTCGCGCGCGCCGCCGTCCCCGACGCGCAGCGCGGCGTAGCGGTAGGCCCACTTGCGCGCGCCGCCGTCGTCCGTGTAGCTCGTGAGGAGCAGGCCGCTGCGCGCGACGCGCCACGCGTCGTCCGCGCCGCGGGCGCAGGCGAGGGCCGGCAAGTCCTCGTCGGTCGCGTCGCGGACGAGCGCGGCGAAGGCCGTTTCGTCGAGCGGCGAGTCGGCCATCTTTTCCTGCGCCTTTTTTTTCAGATGAAGCTCGTTAGCCGCGCGCGTGCGTCGAACGAGAATTCATTGCGACGTGCTCCGCCATCATCCGCTCGGAGAATTTGACTCGAGCGCTGAAGCCAAAGTTGAAGGCCGAGCGGCCGACCGCGGCCGACGCCTCGGCCGGCGTGCCAGACTTAGGCTAGCGAGTGGGGACGGCCGCGCGCCTACCGGCGGGCGCAGCAGGCCTGCGCCTCCTCGCACTGGCACCACGCGGAGCCCTCGTCGTCATCGCAGTCGTCCTCGCAGTCGCAGAAGGAGTCGGCGCCGTCGCACTGGACGGAGCCCTCGCCGCCGTCATCGTCCTCGCCGCACGCGTAGGGGCACTCGTCCGCGGCGAGCGTGCCGTCGAAGCCCTTGACGGCGCAGCGGCCGTCGGGCCACGCGGAGACCCACTGGCACGTCTTCGCCGGCGCGTTCTTCTTGTACCACGAGTCGGAGTCGCCGTGGCAGGCGCCGCAGGACGCGCTGCAGGCGTAGGACGCGAGGCTCTTGCCCTTGTGGCCGTCGTCCTCGCCCTTGACGGCGCAGCGCGCCGAGTAGGCGGAGACCCAGGCGCAGTCCTTCCACGGCACGCCCACCTTGTGCCACGTCGGCGAGTCGGCGCAGTCGTCGTCGTCGCACGACTCCGGGCAGGAGCCGTACCCGTCCTGGTCCGCGTCGCCCTCGACGTCGCAGCCGTTGTCGCAGCTGTCGCAATCCATGTTGCCCGGGCCGTCGCAGCTCGCGCAGCCCTCGTAGCACGAATAGGCGTACGAGTACGAGTAGCTCGAGCCGTCGTCGTCGTCGACGAACAGCGACACGGTCCCGTCGGTCGGGTACTCGTTGATGGCGTCGTCGTCGTAGCAGGGGTCGATGGCGACGCAGGAAGAGGTCGTGAGCGTGCCGAAGCCCATGTCCGTGTAGTAGCTCGTGGAATCCGCCGCGACGCAGCCCCCCGTGCAGTCGTCGTAAAACACGATGATCTCGTAGCCGTCCTCGCAGGTCTGGCAGTCCATCCAGTCGCCGTAGACGGCGTCCTCCGCGGTGAAGTAGCCGCACGTCACGCACGCGCCGGGCGTCGACGGCGCGGCGAGCACCGTGTCGTCGTCGATGTCGCTCGCGTCGCCGTCGAAGCACAGGTCGCCGGACTGGACGTAGACGTCGCAGAGGGAATCGTCGAAGCTCTCATCGACGTAGCCGCCCAACTTGCTCGCCTTCTGGCGGGGCGTCGCGTGAGCGCGCTGCGGGGGCGGCGCATCCCACTTCGTCTCCGCGGCTGCGGCGAAGTCGGCCTGCGTGAGGCGGCCGTGCTCGGCGAAGGCCTTCTTGAGGACCGGGTGCGCCGTGTCCACGAGTGCCTTCTTGCCGAACGCCGCGGCGTGGGCGCCGGTCGCCAGCAGGAGGTTCATCAAGTGCACCATCATGCGGGCAGCCGGATTTGGATTCTGATTCAAGTTCAAGGTGCAATTGAGTCAAAGGTTACGTCACCATAACCCCCTAGGACACGTCGAGCTCGAGGATGTGCTGGACGGCGGCCTCGAAGGTGGCGACGTAGTAGCCCGTCTCGGAGAGGCGCTTGTCCGGGTCGCAGAGCGTGCAGAGGACCTTCTGGAGGTAGGAGAGGTTGGGGATGTCCGCGTTGACGAGGACGTAGATGAAGATGGGGAGGAAGTCGTCGGCGCCGAGGTGGTTCTCCGTGCCCGGGTGCTCGATGCGGTAGAGCTGGGGGATCTCCTTGGCCGCGGCGAGGAGCGCGTCGAGCTTGTCGCAGGGGAGCGTGTAGGAGCCGATGTTGCTCAGCTGGTAGATCGCGGACTCCCACGAGCTCGGCGAGATGTGGTGCACGGGGATGCCGAGGGCCGTCTGGGGCATGTGGCGCGCGTTGGCGCAGCGGGCAGCCAACCGCCGCTCCTCGGCGTCGATGTCGCCCCGGAGCAGGCCGTGGAGCTTGTCCATCAAAGGCACGAAGATCTCCGTCTCGATCTGGCGCCGGATCGCCGACGACAGGATCGCGTTCAGGTCGTCCTCGGCGATGCAGCTCTTCCGCCGCAGCGCCACGGCCACCAGCAAGTCCGCGCAGCCCTCCAGGAGGCACGCCTGCAGGTGGTCGATGTACTGCTTCATCTTCGCGAGCATGTCCAATCCCGACTCGAACGCGTGGCCGCCCGCGGCCGCGACGATGTCCGCCAGGATCTTCTCGAAGGCGGGCAGCGCCAGCACCTGGCACACGGCGACCTGCGCCGCCTGGCGCAGCGTGATGTCCGGGTTCCGCTCCAGCAGCTCGAGCGACGCGCGCCGCTTCGGCACGTCCAAAAACCGCTGGAGCGCGAGCGCGACGTCGCCGCTGTGCGCGTGCAGCCGCGCCCCGAAGAGCATGCCCGACACGCGCCGCGCGTAGCGCTCGAGGCGCACGCGGCGGTCGTTGACGCTGTGCGTCGTCTCGTAGAGCGACGGCCGCCGCGTCGGGAAGTCGAGCTTCTCCGTCGACGGCCGCAGCGCGACGAGCTCCTCGTGGAGCTCGAAGAACTCGCGGAACCGCCGCGGCACGCGCCACTCCGCGCCCGCGAGCACGTCGAGCACCCAGAGGATGTAGACCGTGTGGTCGTCCGCGTAGTCCGTGCCGAGGATGCGCACGCAGAGCGCGGGCCGGAGCCGCGCGGTGTCGACGCGCACGGCCTCGGGGCCCTCGGCGCGGCCCCGGCGCGGGTCCATGTGGTCGTCCTTGAACTCCTCGCCGCCGTCGCGCCGCGGGCTCCGGTCCCCGGCGCCGCGCGCCGCGCTCAGCTCGGACCGCGTGTCCCACTGCTCGGACCGGCGCTCGAGCTGCGCCATCATCGCGCTGAGGCCCTCGGCCTGGGCCTCGTCGATGACGCCCTGCTCGTGGAGGATGAAGGCCATCTTCGTGAACCGGCCGCCGCCGCGGCCCGGCCCGGCCGCCGCGCGGCTCCGGCGGCCGCGCCGCAGCAGGAGCACGACGTCGGCGTCCGCGGCCCGGATCGTCGCGACGAGCTCGTTGAGCGTCGTGCCCGGCGGGAAGAAGCCGTCGCCGATGCCCAGCACCTCGTCGCCGACGCGCACGCCCGCGGCCTCCGCGCGGCCGGGGCACTCGGGCCGGCCCCGCGGCAGCGCGTGGACGACGATGCGGCCGTCGCTCGTCGACTTGACCGTGACGCCCAGGCCCTCGCCCGCCGCGCGGCTCAGCCGCGCGCGGAAGCACGTGCCCTCGGCGACGACGAGCACCTTCTCCGCGGCGCTCACGGGCAGGTCGCTCGGCTCGGACACGCCCGCGGGCCGCGACCGCGCCGGCGGCGGCGGCGGCGCGGTCCGCTTCGCCGGGGGCGACGCGGCGTCGGCGGCGGCGGCCGGCGGCGGCGGCGCGGTCCGCGGCGACGCGGCGGCCGGCGGCGGCGGCGGCGCGGTCCGCTTGTCCGCCGGCAGCGGCGGCGGCGCGCTGCGCGCGGCGACGACCGGCGCCCGCCCGCCGCTCCCGCCGCCCTCGCGCCGCGCGACGACGGGGAGCGCCTCGGTCATCGACGGCGGCAGCGTGAGGAAGCCGTCCGGCAGGGTCACGCGGTGGCCGCGCGTGGTCGGCGGCGTGTCATCCATGAGCGACGGCGCGCGTGTCGGGCGCGGCTCACGCGCCGCGGAGGCGGCGCTCACCGCGTGGCATGATGTCCTTGTCTCGTGATCATCTCTCACAGCAGGTGTGGCAATTTTATACCCCCGGGCATAAGCACGCGCGCCGCCGAGAGCTCCTCGCCGCTGCCCAAGTGGCGCGGATGCGGTCTCTGGAGCGCCATCGCACAAGCCGTGTGCCGTCTGCGACTTGATCGAAGAGGCGTCCAGATGAAACCGCGCGGCCGCGCGGCAGTCCCGCAAGCTGCGTGTGTAAAAACCAGCCCACCGACGACGACGTAGGTCGCTGCGACAGAAGCCGTGCCTGGCGGTCGTCGCGCTTGGCGGATCGAGGCGGCCGCCGCTTGGCTCACGCTCGCCAATCAAAATTTGCCACTATTTTTCTTGAAGGGAATTTTAGCTTTTTCGATTACCATTGGCCATCATCGAGGCCGAGACCGCGTCACATTGGGCGCCGTCCTGTAAGGTTCCCGGGCTAGCATGACGATCCTCTACGCGCTGGTTGCGCGCGGCAACACGGTGCTCGCGGAGTACACCTTCACGTCGGGCAACTTTCCGACGATCACGCGCGTGCTCCTGGGCAAGATCCCCGAGCAGGATGGTCCGCGGCGGCGTCCGCGCCCCGTCCGCCCGCCCCGCGCCGCGCGCACGGTCGCCGCCCGCAGGCAAGATGAGCTACGTCTACGACCAGTACGTCTTCCACTACGTCGTCGAGAACAAGATGACGTTCCTCTGCATGGCCGACGAGCGCGGCGCCGCGCCCGATCGCCGCCGGCCGCGCGCGCGGCGACGCGGCCCGCCCCTTTCGCGCGCAGGTCCTTCAAGCGGCGCGTGCCCTTCGCGTTCCTCGACGACGTGAAGAACCGTTTTTTCGCGACCTACGGCGACAAGGGCCAGGCGGCGATCGCGTTCGCGTACAACGAGGACTTCGGGCGGACGATCCAGAAGCAGCTCGAGTTCTACAACGGGCCCCAGGCGGACCAGTTCGCGACGGTGCACAAGAAGCTCGACGACGTCAAGAACGTCATGGTCCAGAACATCGAGATGGTCCTCGAGCGCGGCGAGAAGCTCGAGCTCCTCGTCGACAAGTCGGAGCAGCTCCAGCTCGACTCCTTCCGCTTCCAGAAGAGCTCGAAGAAGCTCAGGCAGGCCATGTTCTGGAAGAAGGTCAAAATCTACATGCTCATCGCCTGCGTCGTCCTCGTCCTCCTGTACATCTTCCTCGCGGTCCTCTGCGGGCCCACGTTCGAGAAGTGCGGCAACAAGGACAAGAAGTAGGCGCGCCGCCGCCCTCGTCGCGCGGGCGCGCCGCGTAGCGGACGTTCCCGAGGCGCCGGTCTCGCAGTTTTGGGGAGTGTCGGGGAGCGGCGCGTCGGGCGCGACGGGAGGGCTCAGCTGAGGCTCGACTCGAGTCGCAACCGGCCAATGAGCGTCGGGCGCCGCCCGCGACCGCCGACCCAGATAAAATCTGGTGCTCCTCCTCCACAGCCGCGGCGGCAGTGGTCATTGACGCCTCCTGGTCCCTGGAAGGTTGGGCCGCCATGCTGCGGCGCCTGTCCCAGGGCGTGTCCTTCCGGCGCAGCAGCAGCGCCGCGGAGAAGGAGGAGGCCAAGGCCTCGAACCCCGGCGGGGGCGCCGCGCCGAGCGAGGCGCCGGCGCCGGCCCCCGCGCCGGCGGCCCAGCGCGTCTGGCGCGCGGCCAAGGACCCGAAGACGGGCCGCACCTACTACTACGACGTGCTCACGCGCGAGACGCAGTGGACGAAGCCGCGGGAGCTGCAGGACGACCGGGAGCGCGCGGCCATCGACGCCAAGAACGCGGAGAAGCGCCAGTTCTTCGACGAGATGGAGCGGAACATGCGCAAGAACTTCGCCGCGGGGCTCACGTCCGTCGACATCCAGGAGCCCGTGAGCGGCCTCGGGTGGAAGCCGCCGCAGACGCGGCCGTCGAGCGGGTCGATCGGCGAGGGCGGCACGCGGCTCGTGCGCACGCTGTCCACCGTCGACGACGCCTTCCTCTTCGACGACCCCCAGGACGGCGGCCGCGGGTCCTACGCGTCCGGGAGTCAGACCTGCCGGAGCCGGCGGCGGCGGTCGCTGAGCCCGCAGACCGCCGCGTGGTGGGGCGAGGTCGAGGCGACGAAGCAGGGCCCCCGCGCGGCCGCCGCGGCCCGCGAGCAGGGCAAGCAGAACCGGTCCCAGCGCACCGTGAGCTTCGCCGAGGAGAAGGAGAGCCTCGCGCGGGACCTCGCCGCGGGCGCGCCGTCCAAGACGCTCGCGAAGCCCGAGGTCGCGCGGAGCCGCAACTCGACGGGCACCATGTACGTCACGTCGACGCTCGACGCGCCGGACAAGGAGGCGACGATCAAGTGCGTCTGCCACGTGCTCCGCGCGCACATGGCCGCCGCGCTCGCGACGCCCGTGCGCGACCGCGAGGCGCGCGCGCGCCGCGGCGAGTTCAAGATCTTCGAGGACGACGACCACGCCGACGACGACGACGGCGTCGTGCCGACGGCGGCCCAGCTCGTCGCCTTCTACCGCGACGTCTTCAGCCGCGGCCAGATGGAGCTCGAGTGCATCGTGACCTCGCTCATCTACGTCGAGCGGCTCTTGAAGGCCGCGCGGGGCAAGGTCAAGCTCCGGGCGTCGAACTGGCGGCCCGTGCTGTTGAGCTGCATGATCATGGCCTCCAAGGTCTGCGACGACTTGAGCATGTGGAACGCGGACTTTAGCCACATCTGCGCCGCGTTCACGCTCAAGCGCATCAACGACCTCGAGGCCGCGCTCCTCGCGGCCTACGGCTTCAACGCCACGGTGCCCGCGTCGGAGTACGCCAAGTACTACTTCCACCTCCGGTCCATGGCCGCGCGCCTCGGCCTCGGCGGCGACGCGGGCGACGACATCAAGCCGCTCGACGTCGCCGCCGCCAAGCAGGTCGCGAACCGGTCCTTCAAGTTCGCCAAGGACCCCAAGGCCAAGCCCGACGACGCCCTCAGCGCCGACCTCGCCAAGATGCGCGTCCGCCGCGCCGTCTCCGTCGGCGGCGACGCGCTCGAGGCCCAGGCCGCCGCGCGGCCCGCGACGCTCGAGGAGGTCGTCGACATGAACCCCAAGTCCAGCTAGGCGCCGCCGCTTTTCCGACGCGCGCCGCGCACCGACCCGCGCGCGCGCCTAACGAACCCCGCTTCGAGCGCTCGCGGCCGCTGAAGGCCTGCAACGTCGACCGAAAACACGGCAACGTGCCTCGCCGATTGCAATCGATTGCCACAGCCGCGACGCCGATAGAGCGCCGCCTCGCTCGCGTCGTGCACTTCTGCGTCCGCAAGCTCATCGAGGAGAACAAGCAGCTCTACGCGGCGTTGCGCGGCACGCGCGTCCTCTTCCGCGACGCAGCCCGTCGGATGGGCTTCGCGGACGCGGGCAAGCTCGGCGTGCCCGTCCGGCCGCGCGTCTACAGCGACCGGCTCCCGAAGAACGTGGCGCAGGTCGGCGTCGAGGGCCCGGTCTTCGAGATCGGCGGCTCGAACCCCGACATCTTTAACCTCGACTACGACCTCCACGCGAAGATCACGAAGAGCGAGTACTTCAAGTGCCTCTACGTCTTCAAGACCTTCGACAAGGTCGTGGACCTCGTCTACGAGAAGGTGACGTACGTCGAGCCGTGGACGCACCGCGGGACGCAGAAGCGCGGCTTCCACAAGTGCCCGTCGTCGGCGTTCTGCCTCCTGCTCAAGCTCTTCCACCTCCAGTTGACGGAGGACCAGGTGCGCGCGCTCCTGGACCACCCGGACAGCACCTACATCCGCGCCATCGGCATGCTCTACGTCCGCTACGGCACAAAGCCCCGCGGCGTCCCCGTTACGCGCGCCGCGGCGCGCGCACCCGCCGCCGCGCGCAGGCGGCGACCCGACGGTCTGGTGGCGCTGGCTCGGCGAGTACCTCGACGACCTCGAGGAGTTCAGCCCGGGCATCCAGGCCTTCCAGACGACGACGCTCGGCGCGTCCGCGCCGCGGCGTTGAACTTCGACGGCGCGCGGGGCGCCCACGCGGCGCGCGCAGGTTCGCGCGGCGGCTCCTCGACGCGAGCGACCTCTCCTACTTCGAGACGACGCTGCCGCCCATGCTCCCCGCGGCGCTCGAGTACCGCATGTCCGTGCACCTCGCGAAGCACGAGGACATGACGCAGCGCGCGGCGAAGAACGCGCGGCACGTCGGCACGGCGGCGCTGAGCGCGGGCGCGGGCGGCTTCCTCTGCTGCGCGCGCGGCTTCTACGGCGAGGACGACGACCTCGACGCCGAGGCGGGCCTCGTCTGGCGCCAGGACGCGACCATCGAGGCCGTCGAGGAGCCCTACGACGGCGCGCCCGACGGCACGCTGCCGCGCTACCGCGTCGCCTTCGCCGTCGGCCCGCCGGCCATGGCCAAGCTCGGCATGTTCCAGTTCCCGCCCGACGAGTCCGAGAAGAAGGGGCTCGAGGCGCGGAAGAAGGTCCTCGACGAGCGGCGCCGCGCGGACCAGCGCGACCGCGACAAAGACGACGCGCGCGCGGCGCGCGGCAAGCCCCGGCGGCCGCCGCGCTTCCACCACGGCCAGACCATCATGTCGTCGAGCGACGACGACGACGGCGCCGACGACCGCGGCCGCGACCGCGGCCGCGACCGCCGGGGCCGCAGCAGCGGCGACCGCCGGGGCCGCAGCCGCAGCCGGAGCGGCGACCGCCGCCGCCGGCCCCGGTCGCGCGACCGCCGCGACCGCCGCGACGACGGCGACCGCGGCCGCGGCTACGACCGGCCCCGCGACGACCGCGGCTACCCCCCGGGGGGTTACGACCGGCCCCGCGACGACCGCGGCTACGACCGGCCCCGCGACGACCGGCCCCGCGACGAGCGCGGCCGCGACGACCGCAGCCGCGACGACCGCGGCCGCGACGGCGGCTACGACCGGCCGCCGCGCGGCTCGGGCCTCGACCGCTGCGGCCCGCCCCCGGAGCGCGCGCCGCGGCCCTGGGAGGTCCGGTCCTCGCCGCCGCGCGAGTTCGACCCGCGCAGCCGCGGCCACAGGCTCTCGCGCCCGCCGCCCCGGGGGCCGCCGCCGCCCGACCGCGACCTCGACCGCGGCCCGCCGCCGCCGCCGGACCGCCGCGGCCCGCCGCCCGAGCGCGGCCCGCCGCCGGACCGCAGCCCGCCGCCCGCCGCGCCCGCGCGGCCCGACCGCCGCCCGGAGTCCGGGGCGCCCGCGCTGCCGCCCGCGCGCGCCTCGCCCGCGCCGCTGCCCTCCGGAACGGCGCGGCGGCCTACGGACGACCGGGAGCGCCGGCACTGGCGGCCCGGGCCCGTCCCCGACGACGGCCGCTGGCGGCCGAACTAATACTAGCGTCGACCCTTCCCGCGCCCGCCGCGGCCCCGGCCGCCCTTGCCCTTGCCCTTGCCCCGGGGCGCCGGCGGCGCGAGGTCGACGCGGCGCGTCGAGAGGAGCGAGCGGACGAGACCGTCGGTCGCGGGCCGCGCGCAGGCCCCCCGCCCCCGGTCGAGCGGGCTCTTGCCCGGGACGAAGGTCAGCTCGAGCTCGACGCCGCTCGGCCCCGCGACGGCGCGGCAGGCGGCGACGGACGCGTGGAACTTGGCGACGAAGACGGGCCGCCGCGTCGAGAGTAGCCGCGGCGGCCGGCCCGGCGCGTGCGTCGCCTCGAGGAGCACGGCGCCCCGGGCGTCGCCCCCGAAGAGCGCCTTCGCGTCGTCGAGGACCCGGAACGCGTCGAGGGCAGGGTGGTCGTCGGGCAGCGGGCACTCGAGCGTCGGCGCGCGCGGGTCCGGCGGCTCGCGCCAGGACCGCGCGAGCGCCCGGAGCGCCGCGCGCGCGCCGCGCGCGCGGCCCGCGCCGACGGCGCCGCCGTCGCCGTCGTCGTCGCCGACGTCGACGCCGCCGTCGTCGTCGTCGTCGCGGCGGAGCGCGGCGTCGTAGCACGCGCCGCAGAGCGGGTACGTCGCCGTCTTCGCCGCGTCCCCGGCGCCGTCGCGCAGGCCGTACCAGAGCAGCTCCGAGCGGCAGGCGGGGCAGCGGCGCCCGTTCGACGCCGCGACGGACCCCGGCCGCGGCAGGTCGACGACGTCCTTCGTCGCCGGGTCGTACAAGCGCTGCGGCCGCGGCACGAGGTGCAGGTAGTGGCCCGTGAGGCCGCAGCGGCTGAAGGCCGACCGCGACGCGTCGTCCTCGGGCCGCTCGGCGTAGACGGCGTCGAAGAGCTGCTCCATGGCGTCGACGTGGGCCGCGAGGTGGGCGTACTTGGCCGCGAAGTTCGCGACGCAGTGCGCGACCACGGCCTCCCGCGGCGCCTCGCCCCCGGCGATGAGGTCGCAGGCGGCCTCGATGGCCGCGCGCACCTCCGGGAGCACGAGCGACGCGTCTACCCTCAAAAAGCCCCGGCAGACGACCGTGCCGAGCTCCGTCGGCCGCAGCCGCCGCGACTTGCCGTCGACGGCGACGTAGAGACGCTTGCAGACGTTCTCGATGTGGCTCGGGATCGACGCGTCCGTGCCGATGCCGTGCTTCTCCATGAGGGCGACGCAGTCCGCCTCGCTCAGGCGCTCGGGCGGCCGCGTCGTCGCCTCGCGCGGCGCCGCCGCGCATTTCGCCCGCGGCCGCGCGCCGACCGCCGGCAGCTCCAGGAACAGCGGCGGGCCCGCGTCGTCGTCGCGGTGCGGCCGGAGCACGTCCAGGAAACCCGGCGCGACGAGCGCGCGCCGCTCGACGACGAAGCGTTCGCCCGCGAGGTCGACGGCCACTCGCTGGTCCGCGTACGCCGCGTCTTCCGAGACCGACGCCAGGAAGCGGCGCGTCACCAAATCATAAAGCGCCGCGGCCTTGCCGTTCAGGACGCCCGGCGGCGCCGGAGCGGTAGGAGTAATGGGCGGGTGGTCGCCCGCGTCAAGTCCCCTCTTCGGCCGCCGCCACGCGCTCCGTTCCAAAAGATCCGCGGCGTGCGCGCCCCACCGCGCGTCGCCCGCCTGCTGCTCGATGGCCGCCCGTAGATCCATGGACGGCGGGAACTTGTTCGTCTCCGTGCGCGGATAGCTCAAAAAGCCGTCGAGGTAGAGGTGCTCCGCGTGCTTCATCGCCATCGCCGGCGACAAGCGTAAAACCCGGCTCGCGGCCTTGAGCAGGTCCACGGTGTTGAAGGGCAGCGGCGGCGCCTTCGTCGACGTCCCCGCCGTCGACTCCACCACCGTCGCGACCCCCGCGGCGGCCGCGCCGCGGCAGAGCGCGGCGGCGACGCTCCGGTCGAAGCACCGGCCCCGGGCCCAGGTCGCGTCCGCGAAGGCGCCGTCGACCTCGAGCGCCGCGTCCGGGAACCAGTAGGGCTCCGGCTCGAAGGTCGCGATCTCGTCCTCGCGCCTCACCACGAAGCCCAGCGTCGGCGTCTGGCAGGGCCCGTAGGACAGCGTCCGCGCGTCGAGGCCCGCGTACTTGGATTGGAAGTGGCGCGTCGTGAACCGCGTGAACGCGACGCCCACCCTCAAGTCGAGCTCCTGGCGCGCGATGACGGCCTCCGACAGGCGCTCGTCGGGCTCGCCGAGCGTCGCCATGGCCTTCTCGATGTCCGCGGGCGTCACGGCCGAGAACTTGGCGCGGTGGACCGTCGCGCCGGGCCGGAGCTCGCTCTGGGTGACGTCCATGACCTGGAACGCGATGGCCTCGCCCTCGCGGTCGCAATCCAGGAAGAGCACGAGCGCGTCGCAGTCCTTGGCCGTCTCCCGCAGGTTCCGCAGCACGCTCCCGTTGCTCGGCACGCGCACGACGGGCGCGTCCCAGAGCTCGCTCGGGTCGCAGCCGTCCCAGTCGCGGTACGCCGGCGCGAAGTCGAGGTTGAAGCAGTGGCCGAGCACGGACGTGACGCGGTACTCGCAGCTCGCGCCGCCGAAGCGGCCGCGGAACTCGTGCGTCCGCGGCGACCCGCCGCGCGTCGACACCGTCGACTTGGCCAGCGCCTTGGCGATGGCGTCGGCGATCGACGGCTTCTCGGCGACGCACATGACGATGTCCATCGCGTTGCTGGCGTGTTGCGGCGCGTTGCGCGCGGGCTATCGAGGCGTCAAATGAGGGACCATCGCCTGGTTTACAGCCTTGCTAATCGAGGCACCATGCCTGTCCAGGTGTGGCAACGCGCTCCTCCTCCTTCAAGGTGAATTCAATCCGGCGGTCGACCCGCAAGCACACGGTACTTTACTAAGCGGCGTAGCGCGGGGCCGCGGTCGGGAGGTTCGCGATGGCCGCGGCCGCTGGCGAGCCGCGCGGCGCGCCGAGGAGGAGCTCGCGCTTCGGATAGCGCGGGTCGTCCGCCGGGAGGTCGAGGAGGCGGACGACGTAGCCCCGCTCCGCGGCGTAGGCGAGGCGGTCCGTCTCGACGACGCGCTTCGCCCGCCGCTGGACGCGCGCGACGTCGTCGTCGTCGTCCGCACCCACCCCATAATCCGCGGCGGCGGCGAGGACCCCCCACTCGGAGGCGTCCTCGAGCTCGGAGGCGAGCCAGCGGCTCCGCGGGTACTCGACGTTCGACGGCCGCGCGGCCCTCTGCGCCGACGTCCGGGGCATGCGGCCGCCGACGACGGCGCGGTCCGTGAGCGACTTCCCTAGGCAACAGGGGGAGATGGCGAACGGAATTTGAGCGTCGAGGGCCGCGTCCATGGCCAGGTCGCTGACGGCGCCGCACGCGTGCAGCGACACGACGCAGTCCGTGTCGCGCACGGTGAGCGCCGCCGCGTCCGCTTCGAGAGCGCGGACGTTGGCGCCCGCGCGCGCCTCCAAGAGCCGCAGGGTCTCGCCGTTGATGTCGACGGCGACGACCTCGTCGAGGGCCCAGAGCCCGAGGGGCACCGCGAGGTTCCCCGTGCCGGCGCCGACGTCGACGCAGCGCCGCCGCGCGGAGCCCGCGAGGAGCGCCGGCAGCACGGCCCCAAAGGCCTCGACGGCGAGGCGCTTCCGCGCCGCGCGCGCGCCCCGGAGCCGCCCGCCGCGCGCCGGATCCGCGTCCGCGGGCATCGCCGCCCAGTCGACCGCCGGAGCCGCGAGGACGCGCGGCTCGGCGACGCTCGAGAAGCGGTCCACGAGCTCGCGGCGCCGCGCCCTTTTTCGGTCGCCCGCGCGCCGCCTCGCCTCCGCGCGCCGCGCCCGCTCGGCGACGTCGACCGCGGGCGCCTCGCGCGGCGCCTCGGCCCGCGGCGGCTCCACGACGCACCGCTGGCGGTCCTCCCCGACGACCGCGCGCCCGTCCAAGGCGGCCACGCACGCGCGCGCGTCGTCTCCCTCGGCGAAGGAGAGCCGCGCCGACCCGCCGTGCTGCTTCTGCGCGTCCCTCTTGCGCCGCCGGTCCACGCCCTTGACCTCGATGCCGTGCGGCGCGATGTTGACGCGGTCGCAAGCCGTCCGCAAGCTCGCCTCCACGGACGCGACCGACGTCGTCCACGGCAGGTTGCTCACGCGCACGTGGACTGGCGGACTCAGGGCCATTGCGCCCGAGATGGCCAGGAGGAAGGCTGCCATCATCATCCCTCGACTGCGGCACCACTGCAACATGAACCACCCGAATCGTGTCGCAGCGCCCGCACGCCTCGCGCCGGCGGCCGACCGAGCGGGAACCGACGGCGCGCCGGTGGCTATGTTACTCCCCTAGAGCGCCCCCTAGAGGGAGTCGATGCACGGGCGGTAGGGGACGTCCATGATGCGGTTCTTCGAGAGGCACTTGGCCTTTGCGTTCGCGTCGAGCGGCCGGCGGCGGTTGATGATGGGGCAGCGGCGGTGGCCGCAGAGCCGGAGCTGGTTGTGGAGGATGAGGTCGCACTTGGCGCAGGCGATGACGTCGCAGTCCCAGCAGAACATGGTCGCGGGCTCGGACGAGCACCGCTTGCACCGCTCGTCGGCGATGGACCGGATGACGTGCGCGCGGAGGCGCATGGGCTTGGCCTCGGCGCGGGGGCCGACGTGGACGATGTCGCAGCAGTCCTGGCAGTAGAAGGCGCGGCAGGAGCCGCAGCGCACCGTCGCCGCGCAGACGCAGCGCGAGCAGACCTCCGTCGCCGTCGGTTTGACGAAGTGGTTCACGGAGATCGTCGGCGCGGACCAGGACCCGGCGAGGGAGTAGGGCGAGTCGACGCTCCGCGCCGCGAGGGACCGGCCCGGCGACGCGGGCCCCGGCGACGCGAGCGCCGCCGCGGGCGCGGCGAGCGCCGCCGCGGGCGCGGGCGCCGCGGCCGTCGCCGCGGGCGCGAACGTCGCCGCGGGCGCCGTCAGGGGCCGCAGGGGGCTCGCGGCGGACCCCGGGGGGCTCCCGCGCCGGGAGCCCGCCGTCGCCGCGCGGCGCCGCGGGTCGGGGGTCCGCGGCAGCAGGGACGGCTTGCCCCCTATCCGGCTCAGCGTGAGGCTCCGGTCGAAGGACCGGATCTTCGAGCTCCGCAGCTTGTCCGCGGGCACGCCGCCGTAGGCGAGCACCTCGTGGTGCTTCGCGTGGCGCCGCATGAAGATCATGAACTCCTGCACGGAGATGAGCCCGGACCGGTCCACGTCCAGGGCCTTCCAGAGCCCCCGGACGGCCTCGTCGCCGAGCTCCTCGGGCTTGAGGTTCAGGCCCGGGAAGGACGTGCGCACGACGGCCTCGATCTCCTCGAAGCCCATGGACCCGCTCTCGTCCGTGTCCATGCGCCGGAAGATCTTGAACCAGTTGCCGCCCGCCTTGTGCCACTTGTCGGCCGCGCCGTTCATCGTCGCGAGGCACGCGCTTAGCGCGCGCTGGTGCTCGACGTGGCTGTAGTCGGGCCAGGTGCTGATCTTGAAGAGGTAGAGCGCGCTCTGGAACTCGTCGGGCGTCAGCTCGCCGCTCCGGTCCTCGTCGACGTACTTCCAGAGCGACAGGAGCTCGCCGCGCGAGATGAGCTCCTCGCCGAGGCCCAGGCGGATGCGCACGGCCTCGTCGAGCTCCTTGAGCGTGATGCGGTTCGACCCGTCGACGTCGATCTCCTTGAACATGCGCTTGAAGTTGCCCGCGATGCTGCTGTGGACGCCGCGCCGCCGGAACTCGCGCGCCAGCGCCCGGTCGATCTTCAGCGCGATGCCCCGCAGCTCCGTCTCGTCGAGGTCCTTGGCCGCGGAGACGTCCATGCTCGGCGGGGTCGCCGGCGCCATGATGGCCGGAGGGTCGCCGGCGCGCGCGGCGACAGGCGGCAGCCCGACAGCGCGCTCTCAGAGGAGAATGATTTATTTGCGGTTGTTGAGTTTCTTGAGGCCGACGTGTCTTTTTCAAGCGCGGTTCTCGCGCCGGTAGGGCAGCCTCGGCGCGCGGCCTCGTCGGCGGCACCCGGCGGCGGCGGCGGCGGCTCGCCGCGGAGCGCCGCCGCGCCGCCATGTCGCTCTCCTTCCGGCTGCTGGACTGCACCTTCGCCAAGCCCTGCCAGTACTTCATCAGCCTCCAGCTCGACGACCACAAGAAGCGGCTGCGGACCAAGGTCTCCGACGAGACGGCGAAGCCGGCCTTCGACCAGGTCTTCGACCTCGGCGACTTCGAGGAGGACTTCGCGGAGCTGACGGGCGCGACGCGGCGGCTCACGCTCGACGCCTTCGTCGTGCTCGGCCGCGAGGGCGCGTCGTCGACGCACCAGCTCCTCGGGACCGCGTCCGTGGCGCTGCCGGCGGCGCCGGCGTCGCCGGGGGCGTCGCCCCCCCGCGTCGAGCACCACAACCTCACGTTCACGCGCAAGGAGACGAAGACGAACGGCGAGATCCCCGTCGGCCGCTTCCGCCTCGAGATCGCCGTCGGCGCGGCCGGCGCCGCGGCGCCGCCGGGCGCCGCGGCCGGCGCCGCGGCCGCGGCCGCGACGCCGCGCCTCGGCGCGGACCGCGCCCAGGTCGTCGTCCACGCGCGGAGCGCGGCCTTCGCCGGCGCCGCGGGCCTCGCGGGCCCCGTCGCGCTCCGGTGCCGCGTCGACGGCGGCGGCGGCGGCGGCGCCGGCGCCGGCGTCGCGGCGACGCGGCCCGCGGCGCTCGCCGGGCCCGACGGCGCCGCGTCCTGGAACGAGATCGTCGTCCTCGAGGCGCCGCGCGAGCCCCGCGACGGCGAGGCCCTCGTCCTCGAACTCGTCGACGGCGCCGGCGCGGTCCTCGGCGCCGCGGCCGCGCCGCTCGCCGCGCTCGCGCCCTTCAACGGCTACACCTTCGAGGCGCCCGTCGCTCTAGGAACGGGCACGGCGACGCTCTTCGCGACGGCGACGGCCCACGACCCCGCGCCGCCCTTCGCGCACGCCGTCGTCGTGTCCGCGCCGGAGCTCGCGTTCGCCGCCGGCGCCGCGCCGCCCGGCGCCGTGGTCGCCGTCGTCCAGCTCGCCGACGCCGACGCCGCCGAGGCATTGGTACACAACACCAACACGCCCTTCCCGACGGCGGCGCCGCCGGGCGCGCCGGGCGCGCCGCCCTTCGCGCACCGCAAGCCCACGCTCTCCGCGCCGGTGGAGGACGGCCGGGCCGCGTGGGACGACCGCGTCGTCTTCCCCGTGGGGGCGTTGGACGGCGCGGCGCCGGTCCACGGCGACCTCGCGACCTACCCGGCGGCGCTCGACCGCGCCGCGGCCGTCGTCGAGTTCTACGGCGCGGACGCGGGCGCGGCGGGCCCGCCGCGGCGCTTCCTCGGCGCGTGCGCGCTGCCCGTCGCGCGCGCGGGCGCGCCCGCGCGCGCGGCCGTCGTCGGCCCCGACGGCGCGCGCGTCGGCGCCTTCGCCGCGCGCGTCGACGTCGAGACGCGCGAGGGCCTCGGCGAGCGCGCCGGCAAGGAAACGCCGCGGACGGCGGCGACGCCGCCGGTCGCGGCGGCCGCGCGGCGCGCGGCGACGCCCGACGCGGCGCTGTCGACGTCGACGGACTGGGAGCCCCCGCCGGGCCCGCGGAGCGGCGACGGCGCGCCGGACGCGCGCGCGCGCGCGCTCGCCGACGACGTCGCGCAGAAGCAGCTCGCGATCCAGCGCCTCGTCGGCGAGCTCGAGGCGCGCGGCGCGGCGCTCCGGACCTGCGGCGGCGAGATCGACGCGCTGCGGCGCCGCGGCGCGGCCCTCGAGGCCGACAAGGGCGCCCTGGCGGCGCAGATCGCCGCGGCCGCCGAGGCGAAGGACCGCGAGTGGCGCGGCCTCGAGCGGCTTTTAGCCGACGGCGGCGACCTCGAGCGCTTCGACGGCGCGGGCGCCGCGACGAAGTTCCAGATCCTGGCCCACCTCTGCACGTCCCTCCGCGACGAGAACGCCGCGCTCCGGCGCGCCGACGAGGACCGCGCGGCCGCGGAGCGGAAATTGGGCGACGCCGAGGCGCGGCACGCGCACCTCCAGCGCGCGCACACGGCCCAGAGCGCCTTCATCCAGAAGCTCCAGGCGGACCGCGCCAAGGTCGACGCCTACAAGACGACCATCGCCATGCAGGAGCAGGTCATCGCCAAGCTCGAGCACGTCGTCACGGCGAAGCTCAAGGAGATCGTCGACCGGCGCCAGGCCGAGCTCGCGCTCAAGCGCGACGAGCCGCCGGTGGTCGCGCCGGACCCGGCGACGGAGCGGAAGCTCGCGGCGGCCCTCGACGAGAAGCGCGGCCTCGAGTTCCTCGTCGAGGCCAAGGACCAGCGCGTCAAGGTCCTCGAGGACCAGCTCCTCGTCAAGGCGTCCGAGGCCGCCCAGGAGATCGCCAAGCTCAACCTCAAGATCTTCGAGCTCGAGGTCCAGCAGTCCGACACCCTCGGCCGCGCGGCCCCGAGGTAGTAAGGAGTGGAGTACGCGTACTGGTACTGCACGGTTGGAGCGCACGTTGTTGTTGAGGTCGACGGCGACGCTGCCGTCCGCTGCGGGGCAGCATGGTCCGGCGTCTCGTCGTCGCGCTCCTCGCCGCGCTGCTGCGCACGCAGGGCAGCCTCTTCGAGTCGGAGTCGGAGATCCACGCGGCGCACAGCATCATCGCGGCGGCGAAGCAGGCGAAGCGCGAGCTCGACGCGACGCGCAAGGCCCACGACGTGGCCATGAAGGACATCGAGACCATGCGCGCCGCCATCGCCGACGACGGCTACCAGGTCGGCGCCCTCGAGGCCGAGGTGGACCTGGCCGCGGGCGAGGGTCTCGGCGCCATCGCCGACTACAGCAAGCTCGTCGTCTTCATGCAGCGCTGCGACGACGGCGCGTGCCTCGACCGCGCGCTCGACAGCACGGAGGCGCAGCTCACGGCGCTGCTGAGCGCGACGGCGACGCCCCACGCCGAGGCGTTGGAGGCGCGCGTCGCGAAGCTCGTCGGCGAGGCCGCGCGCCTCGCGGCGGCGCTCGAGCGGTCGTCGCGCGACTACGCGGCGCTCGAGGAGCGGAGCGACGCGGAGATCTACCGCCTCCACGGCGAGGTCGAGAAGCACGAGAGCGCGGAGAAGCGCATGAAGGAGCGCGAGGACAAGCACAACTCGGAGCGCGACCGCGTCGACGCGGACAAGAAGCAGCTCGAGGACGAGGTCAAGGAGATCCAGCAGCACCGGTCGTGGGAGTGCGACGTCGTGACGACGCACGACGAGCTGCCCGCGCGCAACGGCACCTACGTCATCGCGCGGCTCTACGACCCGCCCAAGGGCCGGGGCAAGCTCTGGTGGGCCGTCGCGGAGGTCCTCGAGGTCCTCGAGGGCGACGGCGCGGCGCCCGACTCCCTGTTGGAGGTCCGCCTCTTCACGGACTACATCAAGCACGTGTCCAACTACGCCGTCAACGGCGCCTTCGACCGCGACATGTCGGCCGCGGGCCTCGTCACGCTCCGGCGCGACGAGATCGCCTACGTGGACCTCAAGCTCTCCGGCGCGGGCGACCCGTCCGCGGGCCGCGACGGCCCGAGCTCGCGCAAAGCCGGCGCGCTCCTCCCGCCGGCCAACGCCACGGACGACGCCGGCGACGAGGACAAGGACCCGCGGGGCGCGCGGAAGAAGATCGAGCGGCCCGAGAGCGACAAGGACAAGGAGGACAAGGCCAAGGCCATGTCGCGCAAAAAGGGCACGCGCATCTCCGAGCTCGAGAAGCGGGGCGTCGTCGCGCGGCTCAAGGCCGACGAGGCCGCCTGGGAGCGGCGCGACGTCCACCGCAAGCACGAGACCAAGGCCGTCGAGGTCGGCAAGTACGTGCTCTGGCAGTACGCGCCCGCGGGGAAGCCCGCGGAGCTCTGGTTTCGTTTAGGGCGCATCAAGCGCGTCGACGGCGACCCGCTCAAGGACGACAAGGACGGCAAGAACACGAACCCGGACGCGAGCCTCCTGTTGCAGGCCATGGACCCGCCCCTCCGCTACCCGCTCAACGAGTCGCGCCTCAAGGACAAGTTCCGCGTGCGGGGCGAGGTCGACGACCCGCGCGAGGCCATCGACGACGCGCGGAAGACGGCCGAGTCCAAGAAGAAGCGGGACCTGAAGAAGCGCAAGGAGAAGGGCGAGAAGATCAGCGACGAGGAGCAGAACGCGACGGCCTTCGACGAGGCCGAGTTCAACCGGACCTTCTTCAACGCGACGCTGGAGCCCTGGGACGCGGACGCCGGCGGCCTCGAGCTCGTCCCGGGCAACGCGTCGCTCGTCGTCGTCCACCGCAGCGCCCTCGCCTACGTCGACGTCGACGTCTCCGAGAGCCGGGGCAACAACCGGGGCCGCGTGCCGACCTACACGCTCAAGTCGTCCATGAAGAGCGACACCGAGGACGTGCTCATGGCGTCCATGGGCAAGTGGTGGCACGCGCTCGCGGACGAGTGGAAGCGGAGCGCCGCCTGCGTCCCCGGCGCCGGCGCCGGCGACGACGACGCGGGCGCGCCGAAGAAGGGCCCCACGGACAAGTACAAGGCGCCCAAGCCACCGACGTACGGCGACGAGTACCGCGCCGCGTCGAACGCGACGAACGCGACGGCCGCCGCCAACGGCACGGCGCCCGCGCCCGACGCCGTCGCCGCGGCCATCGCGAAGGAGTACCTCGACCGGTTGCGGACCAGGGCCGAGGTGCTCGAGAGCGTCGACGCGCGGCTCGAGGCCCTCGAGAAGAAGCTCGCGTGGGTCGACGACGCGAAGCACCGGAGCGTCCTCTCGGCCGACGAGCACGCGGCCCAGCGCGCGGCCCTCCTCGCGGGCCTCGCCGCGCTCGAGGCCTAACACCTTACGCGCCGCCTACTTGCCGAACTGCTTCCGCTCGATCGGCGCGGCCGCCATGGACCGCGCGACGTCGAGCCACGGGCACTCGGCGACGAGGAGCGACGACGCGTCGAGCCACGACGCGTCGAGGATGGGCGTGTAGCGCGCCGTGAGGCTCGCCGCCGCGCCGTGGTCCGGCGGCGGCGCCGCCTCGGGCCGGCGCTTCTTGAAGGGGTTGAAGCCCCGCTTCGCGGGCGCGTCCGGCGGCGCGTCCGGCGCCGCCGCGCGGCAGTCCGCGCGGAGCACGGCGCCGTGGGAGTAGGCGAGGACGACGTCGTCGTCGTTGGCGCAGAGGCCGACGAGGGCGTCCTTGCGCGGCGCCCAGAGCCGCGCCGCGGCGTCGAGGACGGCCTGCGCGGCCGCCGCGGCCGGCGGCGCCGCGCCGCCGCCGCGCGCCGCGTCCGCGTCGAGCGCGACGAGGGGCGGCCGCGCCGGGTCGAGGCAGGCGGCGACGACGAGGCCCCGGGACGCGACGGCGACGGCGCCGCAGGCCTCCGCGCCCGCGAGCGGCGCGAAGGCCGCGTCGCCGCGGCGCGCGACGGCCGCGGCGCCGCCGCGGCGCGCGACGGCGACGACGCCGCCGCGGAGCGCGACGAGGGACGGCGCCAGCGCCGCGTCGAAGGCGATGCACCCGCCCGCGACGAGCTCCAGGGCGCCGTCGGCGCCGCGGCGCAGGTCGTAGAGCGCGACGCGGCCGCGCGTCGCGTCCAGCAGCGCGACCGCGTGCCCCGCGACGGCGGCCGCGGCCGCCGGCGGCAGGCCCCGGGCGCCGGCGACGGCCGCCGCGCGGAGCGGGCCCGCGCCCGGGTCCCCGGCGTCGAAGACGTGGAGGCACCGCGCGCGCCGCTCGCAGTCGCCGAAGACGAGGAGCGCCTCGCCCTTTTCGCCGCCGGCGGGCGCGTCCGCGAGGCACACAAAGGCGAGGTTGCGGGAATCCGCCGCCGCCACGCGGAGCGCGAGCTCCGGCGGCTCGCGCAGGCGCCAGACGTCGACGCGGTCGCCGTGGACGCAGGCCGCGAGCCCCGCGCCGGGCGCCGCGGCTACGACGGACCGGTCCGGGAACGGCCAGAGCCGCGCGGGCCGCTTCGCGGGGAAGGGCGCGCCGGGCGCCGCCGCGTAGGTGCAGAGCTTGGCGTCGAGGCCGCCGGACACGAGCGTCGCGACGCGGCCGCCCTTGCGCTGCACGGACGTCGCGCAGAGCGCGCGGACGTCGAGGACGTGCGGCCGGTGCGCCGCGGCCCAGGTCCAGGCCCCGTCGCCGCCGCGCTCGACGCAGGCGACCTTGGCGTCGACGCCCGACGCGAAGACGCGCGCCCCGCCCACGGTCGCCAGGCAGAGCACGTCGCCCTCGTGGCGCCGGAAGCGCCGGAGGAGCACGCCGAGCGCGCCGTCCCAGAGGCACACCGCGCCCGTCGAGTCGCCCGACGCGACGACGCACGCCTCGTCCTCGCCTTCGAGGTGGTCGACGACGGCCACGCACCAGACCGCGGCGTCCTCGCCGTTCGGCCCGCGCTCCACGGTCATCCGGCAGCCGCCGCCGCCCGTCCGCGCGTCCACGCGCCGCACGCTGCCGTCGTCGCAGCCGCAGAAGACCGCTCGCTCGCCGCCGAGCGCCGCCCAGGCGCAGCAGAGCGCGCGCGCGCCCGCCGCCGCGCGCAACGCGCCGACGTAGGCCAACGCCCCGTCCTCGGCCGCGTCGAAGACGCGGAGCGTGCCGTCGTCGCAGCACGCGTCGAGCCGCGCGGGCGCGCGCGGGTCCGTCGCCACGTCCCAGACGGCGCCGCCCAGCGCGTCCGTCGCGTCCGCGAGGGCGCCCGCGGCAAAGTCCGCGCGGAAGAGCACGCCGCTCGCGGTGCCGCCGTAGACCGCGCCGCCGACCCACGCGAGGCACGTCGCGACGACGTCGCGGCGCCCGGCGACGCGCAGCGTCTGGCTCCACCGCGCGTCGCCGTCGACGAGCTCCAGGGACCCGTCGCCGCGCGCCACGCAGACCACGGCCGTGTCGCTCCCAGGCCGCGCCGCCAGCGCGACGACGGGCGACGGCGCCCAGTTGAAAAACCGCGCGCGGTGGCAGGCCAGCGGCGGCTTCGGTGCTGGTGGTGCGTTGTCGGTCGACGCAGCGCCGGACGACTTGCGCTTCGGTCGTGTTTTTTTGGGCGCCATCGGAGTTTCGAGCGAGGTGCGCTGGGCTTATGCTTGGTGCGCTTCCATCGCCGACTCGGCCCGACCGAGTGGCAAGAGCGCAATGATGGTCGATGCAGCGCCTGCGGCGCCGCCGATGCAGCGCTTCGAAGTCGCAAAACCGGCGCCGAAGAGCAGCAAACGACCGGAACCGCTCCACGTCGTGCGCGAAGTCCTCGGCGCCGCCGCCCAGCGCGCCGTGCTCGCCCGCGTGCCCGGCGACCTCGGCGGCCTCGCCGCGGACGCCGCGGAGGGCGTGCGGCTCGACCTCGTCGGCGGCCCGCCCGCCGAGGCCTTCGCCGCCGCGCGCGCCGTCTTCCGCGCCGCGGCCGAAGGCCCGCGCTTCGCCGGCGGCGTCGCCGCGCGGTTCCGCGCGCTCGGCGGCTCCGCGCCGCTCGCGTGCACGGCGGCCGCGTACCGCGCGGGCGGCGGCATGGCGGCGCACGTCGACGCCGGCGGCTGCAAGCCGCTCTGCGTGCTGAACCTGGGCCTGGCCTGCGACTTCGGCGCGGCCGCGGCGACGGCGCGCCTCGCGCCCGGCGACGGCGCGGCGCTCGACGCCGCGGCGACGCTCCACTCCGTCGCCGTGCCCGCGGACGCCGGCGCGGGCGCGCGCGTGTCCCTCATGTTCTACGCGGCCCCGGCGCCGCGCGCGAGGGACGACGACTTCGGCGACGTCCCCGACGGCGCCGCGGCGCTCTTCGGCGGCGACGGCGACGGCGACGGCGACGGCGACGACGCCTCCGACGGCGGCGGCCGCCGCGACGGCGACGGCGACGGCGGCGACGGCGGCGGCGGCAGCGGCGGCGACGACGCCTCCGACCCCTCCGACGGCGCCGACGCCTCCACCGACGGAAAGGGTGCCGACGCGTCCGACGACGGCCGCGTTGACCCCTCCGCCGACCCCTCCGACGCCTCCGCCGACCCCTCCGACGGCGACTACCGCGTGCTCCTCTTCTACGCGTACTGTCGCTGGCGCGACCGGCGCGCGTTCCGCGACGCGCAGGCGGCGCTCTGCGAGCGCCTCGGCCTCGCGGGCCGGCTCCGCGTCGCGGTCGACGGCCTCAACGGCACGCTCGGCGGATCCGAGCGCGCGCTCGAGGCCTACGTCGCCGCGACGACGGCCGCGGGCCGGAGCGCCGTCGACGGCGGGTCGCTCGACGGCGTCGACTGGAAGTGGGGCGAGGCCCGCGGCGACGCGCCCGTCGCGGGCCAGCGGCTCCGGGGTCTGCGCGTCGCGCTCGCCAAGGAGGTCGTGTCGCTGAGCTCGTGCGGCGCCGTGGACCTCGCGCGCGACGCCGCGCGGCACGTCTCCCCCGGCGAGTTCCACGAGCTACTGCGCGCGGGCGCGGCGCGGGAGCGGGCCGTCGTCCTCTTCGACGCGCGCAACGTCTACGAGCGGCGCGTCGGCCTGTTCCGCGCGCCGGGCGTCGCGGACGCGTCGCTGCCCCTGCGCCAGTTCGGCGACCTGCCGCGCGCGCTCCGGGAAGACCGCAAGGCGCTCCCGACGGGCGCGACGGTGCTCATGTACTGCACGGGCGGCGTGCGCTGCGAGCAGGCGAGCCGCGCGCTCGCCGCCGCGTACGGCCGCGACGACCTCGACGTCGTCCAGCTCGCGGGCGGCATCCACCGCTACCACGAGCGCTTCGGCGCGACGGGCTTCTTCGCGGGGAAGAACTTCGTCTTCGACGGCCGCATGGCCGTGGCGCCGGGGGAACCGGAGGTCGTCGGCGCGTGCGCGACGTGCGGCGCGGCGCACGACGACTACGCGACCGCGCGCGCGCGCTGCGGCACCTGCCGCATGCGCGTGCTCCAGTGCGCCGCGTGCGCGGGCGCCGCCGTGGCCTGCGAGCTCTGCGCCGCCTAGCTTGGCTTTTTTTCTTACAGCTGGACGAGGTCGTCGTCGTCGCCGTCGCGCGCGGTGTCGAGCGCGGCGGCGGCCTCGGGCGGCGGCGGCGCCGCCGGGTCCGGCGGCGGCGGCGGCGCCGCCGCCGAGGGGAGGGGCCGCGCGATGTTGGGCTGGAGCGCGAGCGTGACGAGCGCGCGGTGCGCCTTCTCCTCCTTCTTGAACTTGTTCTTGAGCTGGCGCTGCGTCCGGCCCGGGAACGCGGACTGCATGAGCGTGAAGTCCGTGCCGAAGCGCTGGAGCGCCTCGTAGAACTTTTTCGTCTCCTCGAGGCCCCAGCGCTCCGTCTGCACGCGGCTCGTGAAGGAAGCGGACGTCGCGGACATGTCCGTGCCCTCGACGACCTCGACGAGCGACGCGTCGTCGTCGGGCGGCTCCTCGACCTCGAGGCTCTGCTCCGCGACGACGATCTGGCCGTTGACGATCTGGACGGAGGCGCGCGACGCCGCGGCCGGGCCCGGCCGCCGCGCGGGCGCCGCCGCCGCGGCCGCCGCCGCGGGCCGCGGCCGCCGCGGGCCGCTCGACCGCTGGTCGTCCTTCTTCGTCATGCCCGGCGCGCCCTTCTTGCGGCGGTACGTCGTGCAGTACTCCGACATGCGCGTGCCGTCGACGGGCGCCGCGACGACGAGCTGGCCGTCGCCGGGGGCCGCCGCGGGCGCCGCGGCGCCGGGCGACGGCGCGTGCTTGCTCAGCGTCGGCCGCACGGGCGACGGCCGCGCGGCGCGCGTCGCGCGGCCGCCCCCGATCTTCGTCTTGCCGAGGGCCGCCGCGGCCGCGGGCGGGGGGTCGGACATCGTGTTGTGCTGGGCAGGTCGGCGCGAGCGTCGAGGCTCACCAAGTGCTCAATGTCGACGGCAACACCGGCGGAGCCCGTTTGCGCAGGACGATGAAGCGGGACGGCGCAGCCATAAATGTTCCACCTAAGCCCTTTTCAGCCGATCGTGCGGAACGCGCTGTCTCGGAGGGGTCGAGGATGGGGGCAATGCTGTCTCGGCTCCCCGACGAACTTCTCCGTACCCTCGTCCCTGACTTTCTGACGCCTGCCGAGCTAGCTCGATTCTCGGCAACCAATCGCCGTGGGCTGTCCTTTGGGCGCCCGACAGAACAGTGCGAGCACAGGTGGACTTTGGAACGTGGGAGCAGCGACGAGATATTTCGCTGTTCGACTCGCTTCATTTCGCGCCATCGCTACCTTCCCCTGAAACGTCTGCCGTCAGCGGCATTGGCTGAAAGCGCACGTGATCTCCGGGGCTTTTGCCGTGCGTGTGGCGTGGAACGCATGCGACGTTCGGCAGCGCTCGTCTATCGTACACAATGCAGCGCAAGAGACACAAACCGCGGCTTCTTCCGAGCCATTAAGGCTCCGATTGGGCACCTACAGGATGATGCTATCAGTTGCTTGCCTCAATACACACCTCTTCACAAATGCATCATGGCAAGGGACGTGCCCATCGAGCCCGACGTAAAGGCGGGCGACACGGTTGAGATTGACATGCAGGCGTACGGTATCCTATCCCTTGCACGACCATCCGCAAAAACGGAAGGCGTTCGCGTTTTGGAACATGCAACTCTCGAGCCCGTCGCTGGTGAGGCTGAGCCCAAGGCGCCGACCTGGCAGCCATGGTCTGGGACGAAGCTGGACCCGGAAGAGGCGAAGGAACTCCGCAACGACGCGGGTGAACTGAGACTCGTCGGACTGCCGGCGTTCCATCGCCTGAGTATCCGCTAAATTTAGACGGAGGCATATCAGCGAACTGAGATACTTAGTGGGAAGTACGAGCCTCAGAGTACGATTAGGCTTGTGCCAGCGCACGCCTCAGCGTCAACAAAGCTCGTGTTGAGGCCAACATCGGCGAGTGCCTCGGACTGCCAAAGCTCTGCCAAAGTGACTGCCACACCTGTGGACAGGCTTGCCATTGGTCGAGCTCGTCTCTTCGGTCTGGCGGCAGGTTCAAAGCGCGATATGGCGTCGCAAAGGACGAGCTAGACACGCGCCGGCAACCATGGCGATCAACGACGACCTGCGCGAGGCCCTGCTCGACGCCGCGCCGAAGCCCCTCGAGGCGCTGCGGCGGGACCTGCTCGACACGTCGCGGGACGCGTCCGAGGACCCCGTCGTGGACGCGCGGCGCTGGGAGCACCTGGGCATCTTCTTCGGCCTCACGTGCGCGTCGCAGTTCGCGTGGATTATGTACAGCGCCGCGCCGGCGACGGCCGCGGCGGGCTTCGGCGCGACGGCCGGCCAGGTCACGTTCGTCTCGACGATCTACCCGCTGCTCTACCTGCCCGGCTGCGTCCTCGCGGCGCGCGCGACGAAGCGCGGCGGCCTGCGGGGCGCCATGCGCGAGGCGTCGGCGTGGATGGCCGCCGGCGCCTCGGTCAAGGTCGGCGGCTCCGCGCTCGGCTGGTTTCTAAAAGACGGCGCGGCCGCCTACGGCTGCGTCGTCCTGGGCCAGGCGCTCATGGCCCTGGGGCAGCCCCACCTCGTCAACGCGCCCGCGCAGCTCGCGCAGGAGTGGTTCCCCGCGAGCGAGCGCGAGACCGCGGCGACGGCGGGGCTGCTCGGCAACATCCAGGGCAGGACAAGAGAGCGAAATTCCCAACTTCAAAGGCTCATATCTCGGCCGTTTTCCACTCGTTTCGGCTGATTTCGGACGAGCGATCATCTCTCGGAACGGTCTCGAAGCATGGATGTGGTTTTCGTAACGCGCGCGCGCGGAACACTCACGTTGAAGCGACGTTGAATCACCCTTGCTGCCCAGGCAACATCGTCGGACAGGCGCTCGGCGAGGCGCTGTCGCCGCTCGTGTGCTCGGCGACCGCGGGGTGGCTCGGCGACCGCGGCGCGTTGACGGTCCTCGCGGGCGCGTCGCTGCTGCCCGTCGGCGCGTGCGGTCTGTGGTGCGCGAAACGCTTCCGCCCCTCGCCGAACCCGCCGAAGCTCGCGACGTCGTCGCTCTGGCGCGACTGGCGCCAGCTCCTCGGCGACGCGCACTTCCGGCGGCTCTTCTTCGCGTTCTGCGTCGGTTTGGGCGTCTTCAACGCGCTCCTGGCCATGGTCGCCCAGTGGCTCGCGCCCTGCGGCTACAGCGCGACGACGGCGGGCGCGCTCGGCGCGACGTTCGTATTGGTCGGCGTGCCCTGCGCGGCGCTCGTGGCGCTGCGCCTCGACGCGACGCGCGACTACAAGGGCTACGTGAAGCGCGTCGCCGGCGCGGATTTAGCCTTCACGGCGCTGCTGTGTCTCGCGGCGACGCGCGGCGCGGCGCCCGCGCTCTATTTGGCCTTCGGGTGCCTCGGGGGCTCCATCGTCGCGACGTCGGCCGTCGTCATGGAGACGGCCGTGGAGGCGACGTACCCGACGTCGCCGGAGGTGCCCACGGGCCTGCTGTTCTGCGCGGGCAACACGCTCTCCATCGCGTCCATCTACGCGATCCAATTTCTGTTGGAGCTCCAGGGCGGCGCCTGCGAGGGGCTGTCGAGCGTCGGGACGGGCCACCACGCGCCCGTCGCGCTCTTCCTCCTCGCGAACATCTTCCTCTGCTTTTTGCTGCTCGTCACCTACGACGGGCCCCTCCGCCGCCTCGACGCGGAGCGCGCGCACGCCGTCCGGCGGAGCACGGACACGCTCGCGTCCCTCGCGCCCCGCGACTTCGACGACCTCGCCGCGTAATCGACCGACCATCGTGGCAGGTTAGAGGGGGATGCGGGGTGAGGTTGCTCAGAAGGTGCCGAGCATCCACGCGGGCAGGTCGTCGTTCGCGTCCGCGGGCTTCTGGACGCCGGCGCCCGCCGCCGCGGGGCGCGCCGGCGCGGGCGGCGCGGCGGGCGCGGGCGTCGCCCAGGACGAGCCCCACGACGACGAGTTCATCGCCGGCGGCGCCGGCGGCGCGGCGGGCGCGGCGGCCGCGCCCCAGGAGGAGCCGTAGGCCGCGGGCGGCGGCGCCGGCGCGGCGGCCGCGGGCGTGCCCCAGGACGAGCCCCAGGAAGACGCGAGCGCCGGTGCCGGCGGCGCCGCGGGACGCGCCGGTGCCGGCGGCGCCGCGGGGCGCGCC